ACGGATAGATATTTGAAAGAGGTCACCGAATTTCTGTCCAGCAACAGGACTTATTTGGGTACTGCGATGTCCAAGAAGGGCATCCAGTGGAAATTCGACCCTCCGGCTTGCCCACACTGGGGCGGTATATTTGAGGCGGTGGTTAAGGTTGCAAAAACGCATCTCCGTCGCGTTATTGGCGAAACTTCTTGACATTTGAGGAGCTTGCCACTGTATTCTGTAAAATTGAGGCGGTACTCAACTCTCGGCCCCTCTGTCCACTCTCGTCCGATCTGAATGATTTGGAGGTTCTAACCCCGGGCCACTTCCTGATTGGTCAGCCGCTTAACGCCCTGCCCGAGTACCCCTTCAGGGAAATAAACTTTCGCTTAACACATGACTCAGAGTTTTTGGCACCGATGGTCTCTGGAGTACCTACATCTTTAGCAGCAGCGCGTTAAGTGGTAAACGGTGGTAGAGCCACGCAGCAGTTTTTGCTGTTGCATGTATGGGCCGGCTCGAGCCGGGTTGGTACCACGACCTCACAGAATACCGGCGTGAAGTAGAAGCTTTGCTTCTGCGTTTCGTCTGGTGAGTGCAGGTGGCCGGAGGCCCAATTCCCCCCCCCCCCCCCCATCAACATGGTAGCGGAATTACACGAAGAACTACCCCAGGAGGGTACCAGCACCCCTGGAGAATCCCTCGCTGAGCATCCACGACCATGTTATGCCGATCCTGAGCGTGGGTGCTCAGGCTGCCCCGCGTATTCTGGGGGGGGCAAAATTCCGCTCAAAAGCATTACTGCTAGGGGCAAACTGAGCAAGAACACCAAGGCGACCCCTGCCACGCTTTCCGTGAATTTCTGCAACATCAGGGGACTTCACTCTAACCTAAACGCCGTCCACTACCATCTCGAGACGGCGAAGCCGGCCTTGCTCTTTCTGACCGAGACGCAGGTTTCCTCTCCGGCTGATATTTCGTATCTCTCCTAACCGGGGTACAAATTGGAGCACTCCTTTGTGCCTCGGGCTGGAGTTTGCGTGTATGTCAGAGAGGACATCTGTTCTCGACGCCTCGGCAGTCTTGAAGGTTCGGACCTGTCCATCCTTTGGCTACGCGTAGACAGCGACGACCATCCGCGCGTCTACGGGTGCCTCTATAGGTCCCATAGTGGTAATGCCGAAACAGACCGACTCATCGACCACGTCCAAATGGCTACAGATTTCTTGCTACAACAGGTCCCATCCGCAGAGATCGTGATCCTTGGCGATTTTAACGCCCACCATTCCGAATGGCTCGGTTCACGTCTAACCGATCATGCGGGGAGATCTGTTTATGACTTTGCCTTGGCATATGGTCTGACACAACTGGTTACTTCGCCTACGCGGATTCCAGATGTGGAGGATCATACACCTTCCCTGTTGGACCTTCTGCTGACCTCTCATTCGGACGGATATCTGGTTTCCATCGATGCCCCTCTCGGCTCTTCGGACCATTGTCTGATCCGGAGTGTGGTGCCACTCACGCTCCCTTCGCGGTTGCGTTCTGCAGGTTGCCGCCGTGTTTGGCATTATAGGTCGGCGGATTGGGACGGAATGCGGTCCTTCTTTGTATCCTACCCATGGGGGCGGGTTTGCTTCTCGCCGGATGATCCCAGCGCTGTTGCTGACTCTGTCACTGATGTGGTGCTACAGGGAATGGAACTATTTATTCCATCATCTGTGGTACCCATCGGAGGCAGATCTCAGCCTTGGTTTGGTCGCTCCTGTAAGACTGCATTACGCAGTAAGCAGGAGTGTTATCAAGCCTGGGCTGCGGCTTCGGCGACTCGGGATGTAAATACCAGCACACTTAAAAAGAAGTATAACTTCGCCTCCAGGTTCTTCAAAAGAGTTATTGCCAAGGCAAAGTCAGAGCACATAGGCAGAATTTGCGAGAAACTAGTTCGCCTTCCTTCGGGAACCCGTACATTCTGGTCTCTCGCCAAGGCTGTCCAAGGGAATTTCTGTAAGCCATCACTACTATCTCTGCACAGGGAGGATGACTCACTGGCCCATGACGCAAAAGACAAAGCCGACCTTTTAGGCTCCCTTTTTGCGTCCAACTCGACTCTTGATGACGGGGGGAAAACACCGCCGACCATCCCGCGGTGTGAGTGCTCCATGCCGGATGTGCTGTTCTCACAGCGCTCGGTTCGCAAAGCACTGCTCTCCCTGGACATCCAGAAGTCGAGTGGGCCTGACGGAATCCCCCCAATTGTGCTGAGGACGTGTGCTCCGGAGTTGGCACCGGTCCTAACGCGTCTTTTCCGGTACTCCTACTCCCAAGGCGTAGTCCCGAATTCATGGAAGACAGCTTTTGTCCACCCGATCCCTAAAAAAGGCGACCGCTCAGACCCATCCAACTATAGGCCTATCGCGATCACCTCCTTGTTCTCCAAAATAATGGAATCCATTATTAACTGCCAGCTCATCCGGTACCTTGAGGATCACCAGCTGATTAGTGACCGCCAATACGGTTTTCGTCGGGGTCGATCAGCTGGTGATCTTCTGGTCTACCTGACCCATAGATAGGCGGAGGCAGTAGAGTCCAAGGGGGAGGCGTTGGCCGTTAGTCTGGACATTGCGAAGGCCTTCGATCGGGTTTGGCACAAAGCGCTTCTTTCGAAGCTCCCTTCCTATGGGCTTCCCGAGAAATTGTGCAATTGGATCACCAGCTTCCTTGTAGATCGGAGCATCAAGGTCGTTGTAAACGGTGCATGCTCTGACTACAAGCCTATTAACGCTGGTGTTCCACAAGGCTGTGTGCTATCACCAACGCTGTTTCTTCTGCATATCAATGATATGTTGCTAACTGGTAACATTCATTGCTATGCGGATGACAGCACTGGTGATGCTCTATACACCGGCCGTGCCAATATTTCTCGGGAAAACGTCGCTGAGTACCGGAACAAACTTGTGTCTGAAGTCGAGTCTTTGCTGAACAAAGTCTCGGATTGGGGGCGACTAAATCTAGTCCAATTTAATCCTCAAAAGACACAAGTTTGCGCGTTTACCGCTAAAAAAACCCCCTTTGTCGTATCTCCTCAGTTTCAAGGCACTCCCCTTCTTGCCTCAGCCAGTATCGGTATCCTCGGAGTCGACATATCGAGTGACGTGCAGTTTCGTGGTCACTTGGAAGGGAAGGCCAAATTGGCCTCTAAAAAGCTTGGCGTGCTCAGCAGAGCGGGACAGTATTTCATGCCGGCACACCGCCTGCTACTTTACAAGGCGCAAGTTCGGCCTCACATGGAATACTGTTCCCATATCTGGGCAGGGGCTCCCCAGTGCCAGCTCCTTCCACTTGACCGCATCCAACACAGAGCGGCTCGAATTGTCGACGACCGAGCCCTTTCCGATCGGCTCGATTCATTGGCACTGCGAAGAGATGTTGCATCCCTTTACATTTTCTTTCGCATCTACCATGGGGAGTGCTCTGAGGAATTGTTCGGATTAATCCCAGCCGCCAAATTTCACGAACGCACATCGCGGCAGAACTCCCGATACCATCCACACCATCTTGATGATTGGCGGTCCACCACTGTGCGATTTAGAAGATGTTTTCTTCCTCGCACGACCTCCTTGTGGAATCGATTACCATCAGCGATTTTTCCGGACCGATACGACTTAGGGACCTTCAAGAAAAGAGCGTACTCCTTTTTAAAGGTCGGCAACGCATCTGCGATTCCCCTGGTGTTGCAGTTGTTCATGGGCGGCGGTAGTCACTTACCATCAGGTGAGCCGCATGCTCGTTTGCCCCCTCTCCTATAAAAAAAAAAAAAAGTGGTCTGACAAGACGGATCCTCCTCGGGTTGGAGACCTCGTGTTAGTTAAAGAACCCAACGCTTTGCCTTTGTATTGGCGCCGTGGACGCATTGTTAAGTTGTCGTATGGATCGGATGGGGTCCCTAGGTTGGCCGAGGATTTGGTTGGAGATTCGGTCTTGCAACGTGCCGTCGCGACCCTATCCCGTTTGCCAATTTACTCGCGGACATAAGTCCTTATGCCCGGGACGGGGGTTTGTTTAGGCCAAATCTTAACATTTAAAACTTGCATTCAAAACGCTCGTCTCGGCGCGTACATCCGATGGTATTTAGGTCACCGCCTGACCCCTTTCCCGCGCGCGTCTCTCCGCTCACCCTCAGTCGCCTGACGTGTGGGCGATCAACCGGGCGGCCGTGTCCTTAGGAGTCTTAAAGTTACGCTCGAATCGTTAAGTCGCGTGAATACAGCCTCTTATTGCGTTGTCTTTTTCGTGCGTTTACGTGACTACGAGGCTTTTCTTGACTTTTGAAACGCTAAAAATTTGTGACCCGAGAGGAGATCGCGTTCGTCTTCGATCATAATTTTGTGCTAAATGACGTTAGACTTGAGTTCACATATAGGTGAACGCCCACTGGAGTGATCGCACATTGTGGAGCAGAGCAGCGCATGTGGGTTCGCTGTCCGATTACATCGGTGACGTCAGGTTACATTTACACACTTTCTCACACCACTTACTCGACTTGGTCGACCCTACCTCCTGAACTCGGTAAGTTTGTGTTTGCTTATCAGCCATTACATAATAATTATCCATAGGCCATTTGGGCCCGAACCCTTTGGTTGCCCGTCGAGTGGGCTACTCATGGGCCCTAGTCCAGTCAACTTCTGTCGGGGCAACTGAGGGCCGTAACATACGGTAAATCACTGTTGGTGTAAACTGCACATACACGTAGCTTGTTTGTTTTACAATTGAACTTACAACAAGAATTTTGCATGACAATAAGAATTAAATTTTCTAAAAACAATTGATCTATTCTATGAGAAAAACAAACATTTTCGATTCTCTTTAGAAGTCTGCAGATCTACGGATATTTTGAAATAGTATCTACGGAATTATACGGAAACTAATATTAATATAATCTACAGATTTGGAAAAATTTGAATTGGTAACACTGGTGGTAGCTTCGTATAATGTATAATATGTAGGTATTATACATATACAGATATAGTTAAAATTAAAATCGCAGAGTAGCTTTAATTAAAATATTAAATCAAATCTGTAATCTGTTTATGTGCTAGTTTGAGTTTGAGATTACCTCTTCTTTAAAAGCAGGTACCTATTTTATTTTATAATAACTAATAAGTATAATATTAACTAATTGTGTAAAGTGTAAAGGTTCAAGTTATTATATACCTATAATATTTTGTTCGAACATAAAACAATATTCTCTTAATTTATAATGTAAGACTACATTCTGGTAGACTCAAGAGGCAAAAGCAATAATTGTACTCAGCCGTGTTATTGTTATGTTGTTCTACAATGTTGAATCGTTAACTTTAATTATATTAATTTTTTAAAATTTGCAAAATTATCCATCAAATAGTACCTATGTTTCCTGATACCTATTTTGCCATTTTCGATTTTTCAATGGTTTTAATAGTAATAAATCAAAATTAGCACTAGTGGAAAAAGCCGCGTTATTCGGCTACGTTTTTGTTGTGAGATGTCAGATGAAGCTTCTATTAATGTTCATTGATATAAATAACTATTACAAACCGGATTAATTTTACAAATGTACTTAAACATAAATATCTCTGTAAATAAATCAAAAAGAACAAAATTATCCTCTTCAATGATTTATTTTGCTGAGGATAGAATTTATTTTAAATTGTTTTTCTTTGCCTGGAATTTATTATTGTCAAGTCCACTGTTGATCATAGGCCTCCCCCAAGGAATGCCACAAAACACGGTCCTCAGCCACCTGCGTCCATTGACTTCTTGCATGTCTTACCAGGTTGTAAGCATCATTATTTTTTTTATTATTGAGTGATAAGCCAATTAGACCACCGGATTGTAACTTCTTCAACCTATGGACACCTGTAATCAATTTCGGACAGAGAAGGTCATGAGGATGAAAAGCCTTACAATGTATTTATATGGTCGCTTTTAACCTTCAAATAGGAACAAAGCCAGTCTTTATGTGAAGTTTTTATTTTCCAAAACATTATAAGCTTGACCAAGTGAAAAGTATATTCTATTATCCTCAACAAGTGCAGAATTGATAACTAGGCAGGTGGAAATTTATTGTTGAATATATTATTGATATGTATGTTTCAATTCATTGTTATGATGTTGTAGTACCAAATGCAAGATATGTCCTGTCGCCAGTTTGGCGTTGGAATCAACATCATCATGATAATCATTACAATCTATTATGAATTCACTGCTAAATATAGACCTTGCCATTTAGTCTGTGATATGAGATACAAGGCTCATGAAACTCATGAGCTTTTCTTCCTATGGCCTGTTTCTAAAATATTTGCCTAGAAAATTTTTGGAATAAGTTGTTAGTTGATTTTAAGGGCACATGTAAATGAATACAATACCACCTATAGCAATCTCATAAAGTTTAGTGAATATTTTTTTCTGTTTCTAGAAAATTTAATTTAATGGAGGCTGCAAATGTGGCAATTAAAACTGAAAAGAAGGAGGAAGAGGAACAGAATGAAGGAACAAATCTAGAAAATATGATTACCAGCGTATGGATCAAGATTGAAAAGGACGATGAGGAGGAGTACATGCCATTAGATGAAGAGCAATCAGGCACTGAGCGTGAAGAACAGCAGGGTTTACAATTGTAAGTATGTTATTTTAGGTAAAGTTTAATATTTAATTTGATAATATAATTATAATATTCTCCAGACTGAATTTAGGTCATGGGGCTAGTCTCAAATCTGCAAAGGACTGGATTTAGTGCACAAGTGTGTGAGCAAACACAGGTGTAGTCTCCATTCCCTCATTCTTATAGTCTGATAAGTGAAACACCACTATTTTTTTGACTCCCGGTTGCTAAACAGACAGAACAACCCAATAACTGATTTTTTTTGTTTGACCCGGGATTTGAACACGAGACTGCATGATTAGCAGTCACGCTTATGACCACTATACCCATGGGGCAGTCGTATGGATTTACTATATGATGAAAAATATATCAAATATATTATTTAGACAAGTAATATCCCTTTTATTATCTTCCATGGATAATGATAAAATAATTATTATTGCAGGAATAAATGTGAGGATAAACCAAAGAAAAAAAAACGCCAAGGGGAAACGATTTTTTGTGAACTGTGCGATTATTCTACCTGTCATAAAAACTGTCTTAAAATCCACATGCTCAGTCACAACACAACAAAGCCTTTTGCTTGTGAATTCTGTGATTATGCCACAAAGTACCCCTTGGCACTCAATCGACACAAGAGTAGTAAGCATCAAGCGGAAAATGAAGATCCAAACGGAAGTAAGAAAGAAATCCCTTTTTATAAATGTGATCAATGTGACTATGTGTCACGTTTTAAATCAAATTTGAAATCTCATAAGCGTAAACACAAAACTGAAAAACAATTCAAGTGCTCTGAATGCTCATATGAAACGGCTTACAGGCATAATTTTATGAAACATTGTAGACAACACAGTAAAATCACTTTCAACTGTGACAAATGTGATTTTGTAACGCAATACGAGGGCCACATCTACCGGCATCTGTCCAATGTTCACAATGACGTGATGGACTATGGTTACACATGCAATTTTTGTGATTTTTCCACTGCTGTGCGGTGGCGATTGAATATTCACCAACAGAGAAGCAAACAAGAAGGTTTATTGAAATGCGCCAATTGTGATTTTGAGACCATGTACAAATGTGAAATGAAGCGACACAATAAGGAACATTTTGGCGGAACCAATGGACGTAAAGTACATATGAAATTTAATTCCGAAAGCTTCAGCTGTCCTCCTAGTGTACTCGACGCGCCATTAAATGAACCCGAGTATTCACAAGAGCCCAAAGACGTCAATTACGAAAATGATCACCAGAAGTTCAATCATTACACGTTAGATCCAAACTGTTTGGAATGGAGCAATATACCAGTGAAAGAGTCTGATGACATAGATCGTCCTTATCAGTGCCAAATGTGCAGCTACACGTCGAAATTCAAAGCGGCAGTCCAACGTCACTTTCAGAGACATCACACAGATAAACAAAATCGCCCCTTCAAATGCTGCAACTGCAATTTCTCAACAAAAACAAAAGATCAAATCACTCTGCACAACAAGCGCAGTCAGTCTAACAAACCACTTTATTGCTCCGAGTGCAGGTTCACCACTTTGTTCAAATGCCAATTTGTCATGCATCAAAAGAGTCATTATCAGTACAAATGTAACATCTGCAATTACGCATATAAGAATAAGTATTATCTTCAGAAACATTCCTCCGTCCACCAGTTAGGTAAAACTATGAAATGCCAATACTGCGATTACAAAACTGCAAGAGCGGACAGCTTGGCGAGTCACGAAGCCACGCACACCGGTGACAAACCAATAAAATGCCAATATTGTGATTATAGAACTATAAGAAATTGCTTCCTCATCAAGCATATAAGTAGATACCACATTCAGGGCAAAACTGATAAAGATGCCGATGAAAATGAGGATCAGTTGGAGTAAATAAAACATTTATGTTACTTAGAAAAGGAAAATCAAAGCATTTAATATTGTTAAGTTGGCAGAATATAGAAGATGTCACTTCATGCAGGTTAAAATAAGTGACTGTTAAGTTTCACTTGTGGTTTCACATAGAGTATGCTGTATTGTACTTGCTTATTATAACTATACAAATGTATTAAGTAACATGTGACAATGTCGCAAGAGTATCCATCTTTCCATTTTGTCCTATGGCTTTCGTAAGAGGCAGCTATGGGATATGCCAGAACTCATGGCTCCCGAGAGATGGTGGTAGGCGTCAGACGACAAATACAGAGACTGGAGACGAGAACGGGGGAGGGGGGACGAGAAGTCTAATTCTGCAATTGCTGCCTGTCAACTTGTCGGCAAAACGGGGATTAATAAACATCATACATTTCAAATAAATTCTGAAATTGTGTCGTAAATGATTTTGTAGTATCTACATAATATTGTGACTTAGATGGCATTAACTAAAATAAATCAATGTAATAACTAAGTTTTTATATTTAATAATCCTTAGGCCTTTGAATAAACATGTACATTAGGTGTTGTTAGACAAGTGGTAAAATTAAAAATTGTGAACAACATTTCAAAATAGGTAAATAAAATGAGAACATCAATGTAGTTGTAGTCAATTAAATACGCATTATTAAGGATAACTCAAAAACTACTGGTCGGATCTTGATCAAATTTAATGGGATCACATGAGAAGCACCAGCTTTCAAATAAAAAAAAATCATCAAAATCGTGTCACCTAGAAAAAAGTTCTAGAGGTAACACATAAAAAAATACAGTCGAAAAACGAGGTGCTTACTCCTTTTTTTGAAGTCTTTTGAAAAAAGCAAACAGAAGCTCGGACTTATTACTAGACTGGAATCAAATCTGGAAGTTTCAGCGATTTTTGAAAAATATTTCACTGATATTCCTATCTTGACAACACAGTTATAGAGTACTTCTCCAATTGTCGCCCAGTCATTACTGAAACAGTACCTGTTTAAAAGAATTTAAATCTAAAAAAGTATTGACACAAGATATTGCAAAATATTTCAAAACTCTCGTTCTATCGCAGATTTTATTTTTATAGGATAGGGTGACAAACGAGCACACAGTCCACCCGATGGCAAGTGGTCGCCGTGGCCCATAGACATCTACATCTATCCTCGTTTGCGAATCAAAATACAGATGCGTTGTCACCCGTGAGGACTAAGATGGAATGCCTCTTTTCAAAAGGGTCTCCGGTTCTCTATACTCACCATACGAAACACAGCAGTGTCAAGCTGCTATTTGACGCTGGTTTTCTGTGAGAGCGTGGTCCTTCCCCGGTCGAGCCGAACCATTCGTGCTACACTATACTACTAATATAGCTGCAGCATGGCTCTACCACGTACAAATTTATGGGGGATTTCGGTAACTCTTATTGCGTCCACAAAAGATTGCACTAATCTTACTGTTTTTTTTAAATTAATACTAACGTCGAACCTTGTATGTTAAAAAATAGTTTGGATTAAAATATATTAAGTCTTTTTTTTAATACAAATAATTTACTCCTTAAAAATCAAGTGTTTTACAAGGAGTCACTCGATGAATGACGCTGGTGTTGAACTTATTAAATATATTTTCAATGCCTGGAAGTATTCAGGAGATCCTTTAGGTATTTTTGTGATTTTTCCAAGGTTTTTTAATGCGTAAACCCAATTAAAAGGGTCATTCGATATGTTGACGCCGAGGATTCCGATGCTAGCTGGATTCTTAATAGCGGTAAACGTGCAAACCTGTGTCTTCTGAGCGTTAAACTGTAGGCTTTTGTTGAGTCAGTGCGCTTCACCATCTTAGGCTACATCACCACTTACCATCAGGTGGGATTGTAGTTAAGCGCTGGCTTAGAATAATATACAACAAATTGGTAGAGCCACGCTGCTGCTATATTATAGTTGTCAGACGAATGGGTCGGCGCGATCCGGGAAGGACGGCGCTCGGACAAAAGTCTAGCGTAAAATAGTAGCTTATTGCAACTGTTTCGTATGATGTGTAGTGAACCGGAAAGTCTTTTTACTGGAAATGAGGCATTCCATCTTAGTACTCAAGGCTGACAACGCATCTGTATTTTCTGCCGACTTCCAAAAAGGAGACGGTGCTCAATTCGACGCGTATGTTTTTTTTTATGTGTTACCTCATAACTTTTTACTGGGTGGACCGGTTTCGATGATTCTTTTTTTATATGAAAGCTGATACTTCTCGTGTGGTCCCATATGAATTTGATCAAGGTCAGACCAATAGTTTTTGAGTTAATCTTAATAACTTGAAGTCGGCTGTACAAAATTTTTAATTTAAAATTATTTTTCATTCTTATTTGAAGATGTAGATGTCACAGCATCCACTTACATACTTATCAGGTGAACTGTGTACTCGTTTGTCATATCCAAAAAAATTATTCTCTGACTAAAAATGTACTACTTCAAAAAGTCAGGATGTCGTTTAAGGCAGTAATTTACGATCCCCATTTTATAGTTATGACAAATGAATATTATCGGGGGTGCACCTTAGAAATTGGAAATTCATGACCCAATTTAGTCCGTTGGAGTCTAGTAGCGGGATATAAAATAGAACCATGGTATAAGCTTTATTTACACACACACACACACATTGTATTGTTATTTAGCACGCACACGTTCCGCGCCAATACCACATGTCGATGTAGAGGGGAGTCATAAAAGATCACTGCACAAATAAGATGACACACTTACCACTATTTTGAATTTGTCTTGTGACAATCGAATGATAAACCCAACATCAATGTTGTATGAAAACCTTGTATGAAGCTATGATAAAGTTATTTGGAGTGCAATGATGTGATTTCGACTCCATTACAGTGTGTTTGCCGTATGGACCTACAGGATTTTTTGGAGGATAGGGGGTGGGTCATATAGGTACTACATTTCCCCGGTAGAACCTATGTCTTAAGTGTCACTGTAGCTGAGATATGATCTTTAATAGGTTTATTTGAAAATCATCCGAAATCTTCCCTTTAAATCACAAACAAAACTTTTTTAAGTAATTTTGTTTTTAATTACTTTAAATTACAAAATTTGTTTCAATCAGTCACCTCCCCACCCAATAATAAATAATACATGCACGGTACTTTTTTTTTGATTTCCGTAGTTGCTGTAAGTTGCATTTCAATTTTTATTTTCTTAAATGCGGTGTTTATTTTTCGATCAATATTTCTTTGGTGGGTACCTCTGATGCATAAACTAATTCCTTGACCCGTCCCCAGATGTGAAAATCCATAGATGTCAGGTCGGAAGACCGTGCGGGTCAAGGAATAGTGCCAGTTCTACCAATCCACGAGTTCGGAAATGAATCGTTTAAATGTTCTCGTACCGTTCGTTGGTAATGTGCCGCACAACCGTCATTTTGAAAAATAATTGGCCCATCTTCTTCTAAAACTGGCAGTACCAGTTAAGGTAAATATTTTATTAGAATTTGTAAATAATTCACTCCGTTCAGGCGTTCTGGCAAAACATGTGGGCCGATAAGATTTCGCCCAATATCACCAGCCCAAAGATCAACAAAAAATGTTCGAAATCCGCCTTTTTTTGTGAGGGTTAGAGGCCGGCTAGCGGCTAGTCACCGTCACCGTCACTAACTCGATAGACAAAGACAACAGTAACTTTACATACTAATAAGAAAGAGACAAACTTTTTACCTGCTGCTTGTTTATCTGCGTTGACTGCTTGCATTACATACTTTAAACTCTAACCGGTTACATTGTCGGAGTCCGTGTTTGGCCGTGGCCTTGTGAATCTTATTTTGACCACCTAATGAATGATTTCTTATGTCATGTAGCATAACGTTGAAAAGGGTATTAACTAAAGAACATTTTAGAAGAGGGTTAAATTTAAAACGACCTAATTTTTTTTAATGAATTTACAAATTGTTACTATCCATAACATTTACACAGATTTAAGACTGAAAGCTCAGAACTATTTTTTTTAATGTGAATTCCATCAAGTTATGAATAATAGTAAATTTCACAATACAGCACAAGTTATTTCGTGGTGTTACAATCACCAACAAAAAATTTATCACGACTTAAAGGCAAAATTTCGGGTGATTTTCAAAAAACCTATTAAAGATCATATCTCAGCTACAGTGAAACATAGGACAAGAAGGCCTTTGACAGGGTTTGGCACGCTAGTCTATTGGGCAAGCTTTCAGCGTACGGCTTATCCCCTGGCGTGATTGTCTGGGTGAAGGACTTTCTGAGTGAACGGTCTCTCCGGGTCGTCGCCTATGGCTGCTCATCCGATTCTGTTACAACTAACGCCGGTGTTCCTCAGGGGTCCGTTCTCTACTATCTATTATCTTCTTGCTGCATATTAATGATCTTCTCATTCCCGGTATCTATGGGTAAGCAGACGACAGCAAGTTGTGGAGAGATACCAACTAAGTGCCCGGGCCAGTCGGGATCAAATCCAGTCAGAAAGAGAGGCTATGGTTGAGCGTGTGAATCTCACTACAGGCATACTCCTAATGAGGCGATGCCAACCTCGTGAGATTTAACGTCTCCAAAACACAAGCGTGTTTTTTCACCGCTAAAAGGAGCCCGCTCACCCTGGCTCCTACTTTCCGGAATGTATCCTTGGAGTACACTGACCGCCTTCAGTTGTTAGGGGTTGAATTTTCTCCAAACCTCAGATATGGTCGGTTCATTGAGTCCAGAGCGAAAGCAACGGCAAGGAAATTTGGAGTCCTTGCAAGGGTACGGCGGTACTTCACGCCGGGGCAGCTTCTTACCTTATATAAAGCGCAAGTCCGGTAGTGCATGGAGTACTGCTGTCACATATGGGCTGGTGCTGCAAAATGCCACCTGGCAGCGTTGGACTCAGTGGAGAGACGTGCTAAGAGGCTTATTGGTGACCTTGATTTGGTTGAAACCAATCTTGTCAGCCTCGAGCACAGGCGCAGAGTAGCCAGTCTCTCGGTATTCTGTAGGATGCATTTTGGTGTGTGTGCGCAGGAATTACACGCTTTAATTGCTCCCTCTCCTTTCCACCATCGGACAACCAGACGGTCGGCGGCTCTTCACCCCTTTGTTGTCGATACTCCACGCATTAGAACCAAACGGTTTGCTTCGTCTTTTGTAATATGTACAACAAAGGAGTGGAATAATTTGCCGGCGTCTATCTTTCCGTCCGAATACAATCTGGGCATCTTCAAGGCAAGAGTGAATAGGCTTTTGTTACGCTAAGACAGTGCGATTTACCATCTAGGGCTGCATCACCATTTACGACCTGGTAGGAAGCATTGGCTTATAATAAGTAAAAAAAGGACATAGGGTCTACCGGGGAAATGTGGTGTATGAGTATGACCCCCCCCCCATCCCCCCAAAAAATCCTGTCGGTCCATTGGCCAAACATCATATATATACCGGCTATCCGTTACAGTACCCTACTCTATATGTACTCGGTATGGTAGGATACAGTAAACTGAAAGTGATTAGGGAATTATTGCTTGCTACTTTTAAGGTATTACGGGGTGAGGTAAACAACCCGCTTACCCGCGCGCTGCATACGCTCAATGCGGTGGCTAATAGATAGCGGATGTTCTCTTACAGTTTACAAAAACCACCTATTACAGCCTATAAAAACTTCACTGCTGAACATGAGCCTCCCCCATAGATTGGATCTTAGGGGAGGAGACATTCGCAATTATACCTCGGT